TCTTTCTGCTGTTGAATGACTCAGGTAAAATTTTGTATTCAATATTATGAAGTGCATGGAATTTCCCTCCTTTCCAGACATATTTAACAACTGGCAAAAAGACAAAAAAAGGGGGTAGGGAGAAAAGGCAGCCCAGGTTACTGAAATTTGTATAAAATGTTAGAAAACTGGCAGTACATTTGAAAAGAGCCTTTTGTTTGTTTAAAATAAAAATACAGAGAAGGCTCTTTAATCTGAACATTAGATTACATGACTGCCATTACCTAAATGCTAATAAAGGGCTTCTACATTGTGTATAGTCTAAAAGAGTGTGAGTCATGTTTGTGTTGTGAAATGCATTGATCACTGAACTTCACATAGTATTATTACTTTTTAATGGCCTTTGAAATCAGTATATTCTGGTTTATCTGAGAATTTAGAAATATGATGTGCTATGAACAAAGTGTATATGTTCTTGGAAAGAATAGAGGACATAGATGAAAGGATAGTATATTTCATTAGCATGTACAACAGATATTGATAAATTAAATATGAACCTAGTGGACTTGAGACATTCCATTTCATCTGTCTGGCATTATTACATATAACCTAAGATATAATTAACCCATCATGACCAACATTCAGGGTTGATTCTTGACTAATTGGCAGTGGTACGATGAGTGCAATGATGAGAACATGAGACAGAATGAGGGCTTGGATACTGGCTTCTTGTATGCCCTGCACTGAAGACTTCCTCTTTTGGAGTGAGTGCTGCTTAGTCCTGGTAGAATAACTCTGGGGCATGAGAAGCCAGCACATGGCCTAAGGCTTTGGAATTAGACCTGTTTTCAATCCTGTCCCTGCCAATTACCAGCTTTGTGACTGTGAACATGTTTGGTTTGTTTTGTTTTTTAATCATTTCAGACTTGGGTTTCTAATCTGTAAAACAGGGTAAAAAAATACCTGCATTATAGGCTTGCTATGAGATTATATGAGATGCTTAGTACAGTGCCTGACACATAAAAAGCACACACATTTTTTCTGTTATTATTATTATAACAAATAAGCATTATAGAACTAGGATATGATAGTTTATTCCTGTCTTTGCAAAAATTTTAACATTTTATCAAATTTTCCTCAAAATAAGGTATGCATAATGGTTTTAAGAATAAAGAAGGAATAAAAATTCATTTTTAATATTTTTATTTGTTTGCTTCTGAGAGATACCTAACATAATAACTCCTTTGTCTCTTTGTTACTCTTTGACCTATAGTGATTCCATATATTATATTTACAATGTGGTTATTGTTGCATGATATTTATTTATTTAGATATTGAAAGTAATGACTTTTTTTTTTACCATGTAGAATAGTCCTCTAGAATATAATCCATCAACTTGATTTCACTTTTAAGATAATTAAATCACTCTTGTGTTGATAGGAACTAAAGATCAAACTATATAACACTTACTTTGCTTAAATCACAAGTTATTGGCTCAACTACCTTTGAGAGAATTGGATGTCTAAGTAATCTTACTAGGTGAGGAAAATTCCTCATAACTGTCTTCTGGACTTCTTTGTATTTCATGTATTCTGTGATGGCATTCAAGAAGTTTAAAATAGTGGTATTCAGATTGAGGAGCATTTATTTCTAATGCTATGTCTGCTAGGCAACAGAACTGTCACTGCCTTTATCCAATCCCCCACTATCACTTAACCTAGTTGATTGTAGTGCCCTCATAATAGACATCCCAGTTCTTTAAGTGTTCTTACTTGATTTTTTTTCTGTTCTAGCATATAGTCTTTTATATTGATATACTAACTTCCCTTACGCACAATTCTGATCCTGTTACTTCCTTGTTAAAAAATATTTAGTAGCTGCACATTGTCTGTACAGGGGTGGGAAAAGTAGGTTTATAGTTGTTCATATGGGAAAAAATTCAGGTTAAATTAAATAATAATACAATAATAAACTATGTCTCATATACTCACAATTGTAAACCTACCTTTCGCATCCCCTGTATATTCCACTACTTAACCTTCAAATCATTGCCAAGTTCCAGTGTACCTTACTCAGTTTTTGTATGCCAATGTTCTCTTTCATGAAGTATATATGATAGTTCCTGTATGCCTCAGACCTATCTGGCTAACTACTAAGGATCTTCTTCCTAGACGTCAACTCTGATCTCTTAAGCTTATTTATCACTTAAGCTCTGAGGGATAAACTGGAGTATCTGAGATATGCTTACCAAGGTGTAGTTTCCTCATTCTCCTCCATCATTGAAAATACTTAGCATTAATTCTTGATTAATTGGTAGGAATATGATGCGTGCCATATGATAAGAACATGGGACTTAGAGAGAGGGGTTTGCCACTGACTTCTTGTCTGCCATGGGCTGGCTATTCTGTCTCTTTGGGAGAGTGGTGCTTAGTCCTGGCAAGATGACCTCAGTCTGTAGGGGTGAATTTCTTTTATTTTCTTCTTAAGCTTTCATCCTACTAAATTAGGTCATCCTCATTGAACCCTTTTGTATTGGGCTCTGAATACTACCCACTTAATTTTGGTTCTGTATTTAAATCACCTTGTTAGGGCTCCAAGTGCAAATCTAAACTCCATTCCAACCTCTTCTCCTGATTATCATCACATACATAGTTTATTTATTTACCATTGGGCTTCAAATTGTTCTATCCATTCTCTTGCATGTGATTGCTAGCCTGGAATATACTTAAGTTTACTATACTCTAGATTTGGCATCTAGATCTGGGTCTGGCCTTTGGACCAAATCTAGCCCCCACCCCTGTTTTTTCAAAAATAAAGCCATGCCCATTCATTTATATATCTGCATGACAATGTCAAAGTTGAGTAATTACAACACAAACCATATGGCCTGCAAAACCTTAAATATTTACTATCTGATCATTTATATGGAATGTTTGTTGAGTCTTGATTTTGCTTATTCTTTGATAATTTCTCATTTCCATCCTGTCAACCAGTACATACCAAGAAGGCCAGTTAATAGAGACTAAGATAGGTTCCAGCCCATTCACACTATGTGGTTTTAAAATATATATTCTTATTGATTTCAGAGAGGAAGGGAGAGGGAGAGAGATAGAAACATCAGTGATGATAGAGAATCACTAATTGGCTGCCTCATGCACACCACACATTGGGGATCAAGCCTGCAACCCAGGTATATTCTTGACCAGGAATCAAACCGTGACCTCCTGGTTCATAGGTCAAAGCTCAACTACTGAGCCACACTTGCCAGACCAAACTATGTATTTTAACTTGAATTTTCCTGCTTCTTCCTTGTCACCTTTCTAGGATGGCCTTTTCCTGTGGTTCATAGTGAAAGAAATGACATAATCAAAGTTTATTACAGTAGCCTTATGATATGTTTTTAAAAGTAATATAAGATTCTAATATGAAAGTCTTTCAACATTGACAATGTCTTTCAAGATTGACAATATCTTTCAACATGACCTTATAATATATCTAAGATTAGATTTTTAAGTTCTTCAGTGTTTCTAACATCAGGTCTTCTGAACTCCAGAGCTTCCAACATCCCCAATTGCCAGATATTCTAAATGTTATAACATCCATATCTTTTCACTCTTTCGCCTGTAACATCTCCAATGCCAGTGTTTTCTAATTTTCTCAATATTAGGATCATTAAAAATCTAGGTCTTCTAAAATCTCCAACAATAAACCTGTAAGTTAATAGGTCTTATCTTTCAGAGTTCAGAATTATAACTTCCACTTTTACTATATTTCCAATTCTCTGTTACCTCCTATATACCAGTCTTTTAGAGCTCATATTTCACTGTATCCTAGTGCAGAACTTACATTATTCATTTCCTACAACTTTTAATGTCTCCTAAATTCTGATTTTATAATGTCTTATAAAATTACCAGACTCTCCAATGCCCAAGCTTTCAACATCTTCAAGAACCTGCTTCATCATTCAGGTGTTCAAATATCCCCAATATCTAAGTAACTATGTCTTTTAACATCCTGATATATTAAAATCTAGGTCTGTTAATATCCAGGACTTTCAATATCTTTGACTTACAACATCATTAAAATTAGATCTTCCAAATTCTATGTTTTTAATATGAGTAAATCAATATTCAGATTTTCCAATATCCAGGGTTTCTGATTTTAGAATTGTAACTGTCTAGATCTTCTATTGCCAATACCTTCCGATGTTTATATCCAGGATTTGCAATGTCTTTAGTGCTCAGGGCTTCTAATATCCATGAGTTCCAACATTCAGGGCCCCCAATGTCTCCAAAATTCCAGAATAATAAAATATCCTCAAAATCCAAGGCTTCCAATGTCTCCAACACCCTGTGCTTCAAATGTCTCCAATGTCCAGGGTTTCCAATGGCGCCAGTGTCAAGGTCTTCCAACAACTCCAGGTCTTCCAGTAACTCCAGGTCTTCCAGTAACTCCAGGTCTTCCAACAACATCAAGGTCTTCCAGCTAATCCCAGTCTTCCAGAGAGTCCACGTCTTCCAGACAATCCACGTCTTCCAGATAAACCACGTCTTCCAGACAATCCACACCTTCCAGTTAATCCAGTCTTCCAGCAATTACAGGTCTTCCACAAAATCCATATCTTCCAGGAAAATCCACGTCTTCCAGAAAAATCAGTGTCTTCCAATGATTTCAAGGTCTTCCACACAATCCACATCTTCCAGAAAAATCTAGGTCTTCTAACCAATATATGACTTCCACCAAATCAAAGTCTTCTAATAAAACCACGTCTTCCAGAAAATTCATGTCTTCCACTTACTCTTGATCTTCCACAAAGATCTACGTCTTCCAGTAACCTCCAGGTATTCCAGCTAACCTACATCTTCCAAATAGTCAAGATCTTCCGGACAATTCGGGTCGTCCTGAAAATCCATGTCTTCCAGAAAAGTCATGGCTTCCAGGAAATCAATATCTTCCAATCAGTTCCAGGTCTTCCAGGCTCTCCACGTCTTCCATCAAATCCATGGCTTCCAAGAAAATCCATGGCTTCCAGCAAACCCTGGTCTTCCAACAAAGCTGCATCTTCCATCAAATTTATAGCTTCCAGCATACCCACGTCTTCCAACAGTGACGTCTTCCAACAAAGTGACGTCTTCCAGAAAATTCATGTCTTCCGGAATTTCATGTCTTCCTACACCTCCAGGTCTTCCGGCATCTCCAGGGCTTCCAGCATCTCTACGTCTGCCAGCATCACCACGTCTGCCAGCATCTCCACGTCTGCCAGCATCTCCACGTCTGCCAGCAACTCCATGTCTTCCAGCATTACCATGTCTTCCGAAAACTACCCAGTTTTCCAACAATGGGCTCAAAATCCACGTCTTCTGTCTCCAGTGTACCGGTCTGCTAACATTCAGGTCTTCCGGTGTCTCCGATATCCAGGTATTCCAACATGTTCCATAGTTCAGGTCTTCCAACCTTTCCCCAGGTCCAGACTTTTTCTAAATTAGTCTTCCCAAGTCTATGTTCAGATCATTCCACAGACAAGTCAATATTCCTAATTCTAGTAGAATTAGCTTCAGAAAATAGTGGTTTTTGCTATTAGGAAATGTGTATTTATTCTTTACAACTTTTGAATATGTTCACAAAATACCTTCTATAGAATAAACACACATATGGGATTGCTGTGATAAATTTTTCTACTTTACTAACGATTATAATTTTTATATAGTCAACTATGTTTAGGTACAGGTGAATTCTCATTTTAATGAAAAATACTATTGAGAGACTGTTTATTATTTTAACTAAAGTTAACATACAGTGTATTTATCCATTTTTATAACATCAATTTTTGTTTGGCCTTATGTGACTAATAATAATAATAACAACAACAATAACAACACTTAATGTAACATTTACTATATCCAGGCACTGTTCTAAGATCTTTATATACATCAACTTATTTAATTTTCCCAAGAACCTATTGAGGTAGGTACTGTCCCTGTTTTACAGATGAGGATACTGGCACACAAAGGTGAAGTAACTTGTTCAAACTACACAACTTATAAATTATTGAGCTAGAATTTGAACCCAACTAGCCTACTTGCAAGTCCATGATTTTAACCACCATATTAGAATATCTGATATTGAAAATCAAGATGATAATTATAAGATTCAAAGCTTAATTGCTCTAATTTTATATGTAGACTATTATAAAACCTTGTATACAAACGGTCTTACTGTATCTTGTCACTATCAGAACCTATGTGTTTGTATTCATAGATCTTATTCCTTAACTAGCTGCTATCAATCTCTTGCTCATGTATATGGGACTATGCACAAACACTTCTTCATGCCATTTTCAAGTATTTGGGTATAAATACTATGAGAGCACTGAGTTCAAGTATCCTTTGATTTAGAATCATATTCATAACTCCATGCTTTGAGTACTGATGTATGAAATTTAACTCTCTCTTCTACCTTAATTCCTTATCTCTGACCATTCTCCAATTTGCTACCTTACTATCTAGACCATTTACCATTAGTTTGTTTCTGACCTCCAGGATCCACCAGCTTCAAATATCACTGACCTCTTGGATTCCTAATACTACCTTGTGAGTGACTAATGGTGACTACAACTCCTTAACGCCCAGCATGCTGATCTAGAGAACTAACTACTTGGTTTTCTAAGCCTCAGCTCCTATAAGGAGCTGCCCATACCTCTGATTGGCATTATAAGCATTAAAGCCACATAATGGAATTTTGATTAAACAAGAAATTTCTAAAGATTTAGAATTATCTACATGGTAATACAAATTAATAATAAAAATAAAATACCTTACAAATGTCTAATGATTTAGTGTACAAAGTGTTGTCATTTCATTCATTATTCACACATTCATCAATTTGTTCAACAAATATTTATTATCAACTGTGTACTATGGCATATTTTGATGAAACATAAAATCATCTGGGGGAAACAGGCAATGTTTAAATATTTGAACGAAATTTTTTTAAGTTTCCTAAGGTCATGAAGGAAAAGTAATATAGGGTGCTGTGAGAGTCTGGAAAGTTAACGAAAATATTCCTGAGAAAGTAATTTTTATGGTGACCAAAGGATCTATATTCTCATTTGATTATCACAATAACCTTGTGACTTAGATAAGATGTATGTTTTCATGTCAGCTTTTACCTAATCAGAGGTTAAGAAGCAAGTACTAAATATGGGCATGGAATCCATGCATTTTGACATTTCCCCCTATTATTCCATGCTGCCATAATATATAAGTGCAGTTTTAACAATAGATATCAAGAGATATAAAAAATGTTTTATACTTTTTGACTTAGTATTTTCATTTCAATGAATCTACTCAAGGGAAATATCTGAAATGTGGATAGCTCATTCACAGAGATGTTCCTCACATAGTTATCTGGTATAGTTAAAAACAGAATAACCTACAGATCTAATTTTAAGAGCATAATTAAGTAAATGTGCTATTTTCATATGATGGATATTATTCTGTTAAAAATTTATGGTCTATTTAAATTATATAATACTAGAGGCTCAGTGCATGAATTTGTACACCAGTGGGGTCCCTTGGCTTGGCCTGCTGGATAGGACCGAAACCAGCTCTCCAACACTCTCTGAGGAGTCCTAGATTGGGAGAGGGTGCAGGCCAGGCCGAGGGATCCCACAGGTGCATGATCAGGGCTAGGGAGGGGTGCAGGAGGTTGGTTAGCCAGGAAGGGACTGTGGGAGGGCTTTAGGGCATGTCTGGCTTATCTCCTTCATTCCCAATCAGCCAGACCCCAGCAGTAAGCTAACCTATCGTTTGGAACATCTGTCCCCTGGTGGTCAGTGCACATCATAGTGAGCAGTTGAGCAGCCTTAGCATATTATGCTTGGATTGGTTGAATGGTCTACCAGGCAACTGGTAGCATATTAGGCTTTTATTATATAGGATTAAGTTAAAATTGGCATACAGGATTATACACAGTATGATTGTAATTTTAAATTAGAGGTCCAGAGCACAAAATTCTTGCACTTGGGGCAGGGGAGGGGTCCCTCAACCTGGCTGGTGCCCTCTTTCAGTCTGGAAGCCTTTGGGGGATGTCCAGCTGCTGGTTTAGGCCTGCTCCCTTTAGCGCTGCCAAGGAAGTAGGAGAGATTCCCACCACTACTGCTGGGCTCACCAGCCATGAGCCCAGCTTCTGACTGAGCAATGTTCCCCCTGAACTGACCACCAGGGGACAGCTCTGTGTTGAGCATCTGTCCCCTGGTGGTCAATGCACATCATAGTGATCAGTTGTTCTGCTGTTCAGTTAATTTGTATATTAGCCTTTTATTATATAGGATATATAATCAGACAAATGACTAGCAATAAACCCATTATAGATTGTGAACTAATTATCACTAGGTGGATAGGATAATGTGTGATTTTCATTTATCTTTTTATGTTCTTTTTTCTTCCAAACTTCTTACAATGTGAAAATGTTTTATATTTCTGAAAAAAAATTTAAATGATTGTGCATTGTGCATAAAATCACTATTTATTCATCTTTTGTTGCACATATAATCAAGTTTTACTGTTGAAAATACTTTAAAGTATAAGTAAGCACAGTGAAAAACGTAAAGTCTAAAATAAACTCAATATTCAGAGATAATGCTATAACATTTTTGGTGTATGTTCTTCCATACTATTTCGCAGGTATGTTTGCTTTATGTTATAAAATGGTATTCTTTTAACTTATTTTTTCCACTTAATAAATTGTACATGTTTTTTTATGTCAGTAACTGTGCATCTATATTATAATTTTAATATATTGCTTATTTACTTGTTATTTTTTTATTATAAAAACTGCTGTGATGAGGATATATGTTGTGCAAGTTGTGCAGAGCACAAAATGCTTCATCCTAGATGGTGGTTCTGTACTTTATTATGTGTGAATTTATTCAGATATTACTTAGAATAAAGTCTTAAAAGCAGAGTTGCTGATCTAAAGGATATGTACAACATAAAACTTATCAGAGCATAAAAATTATAAGTAACCAAGATGTCCAACAATTGGGGTGGATAAATAAAATGATATTGTAAATATATGATGGAATACTATACAACCATTTAAGTTTATACCACAGAAGAATATTTCCTGAAATGGGAATATGTTCACAAGATTTCATTAGTAAGAGAAAAAGGTCACATGAATGTAAATATATATATGTGTGTGTGTGTGTGTGTGTGTGTGTGTGTGTGTGTGTGTGTGATTAAATTTTTTTAGAAAGCCTCACCATTTTGGCTCAGTGGTAAGAGCACTGGTCTGTGAATTGAAGGCTCTTGATTTCAGTTCAGTCAAGGGTGGGTAGCATGGTTGGAGGCGGGAATCCCATCCCCAGTCAGGGCACATGTGGGAGACAACCAATGTCTCTCACATCAATGTTTCTCTCTCTGTGTCTCTCTCCCTCCCTTCTATTCTCTCTAAAAAATATATAGAAAAAATATCCTTGGATGAGGATTAACAAAAAAAAACAGAACAAACTGTAGAAAGAAAACTATAAAATATCCTCAGAAAAATAACCAGAAGAATATACATTAAAATGTTCATAGTAAATGTCCCAAAAGGAAAATGTACAATGGAATATTATACAGCTAAACAGCAATAATATGAATGGATTTTACTTCTGTAATGTTAAATTAAAATATCAAGTACCAGAAGACTATGTATAACTGGATATCCTTTATATCTTATTTAAAAACAAGGAAAACTAATAACTATAGTGTCCAAAAAATGTATACACATACTTTGAATAATTATAAAGGCAATGTTTATTAAAATGCATTTCATTTTCAAAATTTAGCTATCAGCTGTTATAGTGTGTATTTACTTTTTGTAATGTGCTCTATATTATTTAGGCATACATATATCTTTGGGATTAAAATATATTATTTAAAAAGCCAAGGAATATCAATAAAAAGTCATGATAGTAGTCCTTGGAGTTGAGGAAATGGGGCCACAATAGGAGAGGATCATAGAAGTGGATTGAAGTTATTGTCAGTATTCTAGTGCTCAGGTTCAATGGGTGAGTGGGTGAGTGTTCATTATGTAATTAAAAGAATATTATTGACTTTAATAATTGTATGATTATAATTAAAATTAAATAAAGGACAAGTTAATGCATAAGAATTAGAAGAGGGCCATGCATGGATCACTGAGATAATGTCTGTGATCTATGATAGTATGCATGAATTATTTATAATACACTTTTATGCACTTGAATTTTATATTTTCTTAAGCAAGTATTTCTAGGGGTTGGGAATACATGTACTTTTTATTCTCTTGTGGCTTTTTATTCTCTAAAATTTTAAATGGAATATATAATATTATACTAATTGAAAAACAAGCTGAAATTTATATAAAATAAGAACTCATACATGTAAAAAAAATACATAACTGAAAAGAAAGTGTTGACATGCTAATAATAATTGTCTCTGTGTAGTGAAATTTCATATAGCTTATTTATGTTTCTTTAGAGTTTCTTTTTTAATCCAAGTGTTATAGAGATTGTGTTATTTTTTTTTTTTTGTTACTAAAGTCACATATGAATCTCAGAAGGTTAAAACGGTAGTAGTATGTAGAGAAACAAAAATATTCTTCTTCCAGGCATAATGATTTACTTGCTCTGAATCATACAAGAACATTTTTTGTTTATATGCATGTGTTCTCAACTACCTAATAAAAGAGTAACATGCTAATTGACCATACCTTCCTGATGCCAGCCAATCAGGAGTAAGTGAGTGAGTATGCAAATCAAACCAACAAATATGGCAGGTTAATTTGCATATTCAGGTACCTAGTAGCTGGGGACAGGGCAGAATGCTTGCATCATTGGCATGGCGACGATGCAGGTGTTCCACATCACCCCAGCCTCTGGGCAGCATGGGAAGGCAGAAAGGCGGCTCTCAGCTGGAGCAAAGGTGGTGCCTCAGCCAGGGGAAGGAAGGCCCATTCTTGCACAAATCTTCAAGAATCGGGTCTCTAGTGTGTTTTTAATATGAATCATGCTATACCTACACTAGGTTCTCTAATACTGTTTCGTTCAATCTTGTTTTGTTAAAATTGATGAGAAAAATCAATTCCTGGACAGGGTACGTTCTCTCCAAGTCTGCGTGGATTTTCTTCAGGGACTCTGGTGTCTTCCCACATTCTCAAATGTTCATATGACATGAAGTGGTATGTTTATATTGTCCCAGTCTCAGTGAGTGTAGATGTGTGTGAGAGGCCCTGCTATGGAAGGGCATCCTGTCCAGGGTGGATCCCATCTTGTGTCCTGAGGAGCAGCTCCAGTCACCCATGATCTGAACTGGAATAAGAAGGTTGGAAAATCATTTTGTTACTTGTTTTTATTCCTTTTTCTTAAATGTATGTATAATGCACATTTATTTCAGTGTTTGATATTAGAAGTTAGATTTTTAGAAGTTTGGAGATGTTTTTATGACTAGAAATATGCCCTAGGAACTTAATTATTGTTTTCTATCAATTAGCTTTTGGTAAAATTGGTTTTATTATACATTGTTTCTCTCAAAGTCACAG